TCGGGGCGGTCCCACTGCCTGGGCCCGATGCGGAGCAGCTTTTCTCACCGCAGAGGACGCGGGCGGCGGGACCGCAGCACGTCTGGGCGGTCCCGCCGCCCACGTCCTCCGGGGCGAGAAAAGCCCCGTTCGTAAGTACGGATCCGACATAAGTCAGATCCACATAACTCGGGGACTGCCTGTAGTTTGTCTGAAAACTGTAGGTACTGGGGGTACTTAGAATTTTTTTTTTTTTAGAAGCAGGTACTTTATTAAAAAAAAAAAAAAGGCTGAGAAACACTAAGCTAGACAGACTCTCAGTGCTGGGAGCTATGCCCCTCATGGAGGTGTTTTACTAAAGCATACACTGCAACTACATTGTTACACTAAAAGCAGAGCAGTGCTTTAATGCTGCAAGTATAGACAAAGCCAGAGTAAGATGAGGAGGATAACTCAAAACATAGTTAGGCTCATTTAAATACCAATCAAATTAAACATAAAGTTGGGTTTTTTCCCCCCAAGAAAGGGACAGTCATTCAACTGGCAACAGAACTATTCACTCTGTAAACACTGCGTATTCTAAATCTATCATCCTGAAGTTTCTAAACTAATTTGAGATTAAGCTTTCACATTGATAAATATCACTTTTACAAGTGAAAGTTAAATAATTTGTAACTTCGGTAACAAATGTACCAAATACAATCTGTTTTTTTAGGACAGCTGAAAAGTGTACAACTCCAAAATGTAAGTGTTTACAGTACTGAGTGCTTCCTTTTGCACCTTAATTAATACAAAAAAGCATCTAATGCATTTTCAGGGCTTAACAAACGGCAGTGAAAGCCGCTTGCCAGCCCCACACTGTGCATGCACAAGACCCGCATTGCGCATGCACGCACCGCAAATGAACGGGGCGCCCGGCTGAAATCTACTCGCCACGGGCAAGTAGATTCAATACTTTGTCGAGCCCTGTACATTTTACATACACACATGCCCTTATTTCTAACACAACAGGAAACAGTGTTGTGTAAGCTAGTGCACCACACTGTTACTTGCTATGTATCTTACTCTATGTTTCAAAAATACTTATTTGTAATGTAATGCAATACCAGTGAAATCTTAAATTTAGACTAAATTAGTGGGGCACTTCATTTTACATCAATGCACTGTTCTGAGGAGTTAATTTTTAAATATGCAAGCATTCCATCATCCTCAGCAGACGATACTAACAGTTTAAATAGGTCTGCTTCAAAAAAGACATTTGTTTGTGCTACTGAACCATAAGTGTCAGAAGTTCAACGAAGGAAACAAGAAAAGCATCCTGAGAAGAGAAGGGGACGTTATGAAGTTATAAATATATTCCTATTATAACATACATAATGAGAAAATAGACAACATTTAGACAGCATCACCTTATCTGATTTTTTTTTGGCTATTTTCAAGCTCTGAAGTTAGAACTGTGTCAACCTGTGTGTGCAAACAGTCTTGTATACACACACATGCATATTACAGTACAGTTCACATAAGAGCATCATGTATATTAGTCTTTTCATGTCCCCTGAAAGACCCAATATGAATTAAGAGGCAAGGCTGGAGTACAGCAAAAATGAAAAAAGTTACAATTTCCTCTAGTGCGGTAACAATAGCTTCAAAACCAGATCTAACCTTATTGGCACGTGCCCAACATCAAAATTTTTCATATAATGAGAACATTCCATGTCATCATGAACAACACCCTTTCCTGTGCTACCAAAGGTTTCTATAGCATATATTTCACCTTCCTAAAAGAAAAGAAAAAAAAAAGACAAGTAAATACTATGCAAGAACATGAAAAGTAGATCAGTAGTCAAATGTTAAAATTTCTTGTATATAATTAACAGTTTAAGTATAGCAGAAAATGAAAATCATGCCGGTGTATCTTACACAGCACCCTCAAAACTGAAATATTTCAAGTAAACTAGGTTTCAATAACACTGACGTTATGCTGGTCATGGAAATATTCCTTACTCCTTTTCTGCAGGAGTCATCTGTAGGGGTAAGATGATAAATTCTTGGCCTCTTACACTATTAACAAAAGTCACTATGGATAACAATTGCAATGAGAACATGTCATGACTGACCTAAGTCATTTCTCACAGGCCACTCAACATCTGTCAAGTGATAGTAAGTTACTTGATTACATACTGATCATGACTGAATGAGAAGCATGAACCAAGAAATAAAATTAAAGGCTTCTTATCCCATTACCAATCTTTTAAACAAGCCCCTGCTTTCTGATCCTGTTATTCTATTTAAAATTCAGTGCAAATCAAAACTGCAACTGAATGCACTTGGCACCTATTGCTTCTGTGCTTGTAATAGCTTTCTTTTTCTCCTTAAAAATGCTTAAAACCCAGCTTTCATTTATTAAACCTAGCTGACAACTTATCTTTGTTCACAGATTACAAACATGTCTAATTGGTTTATATCCGTCAAAATTAGACTGCAGGATTTATAAAGAAACACGTCTAGCTCTGTTTGTAAAGCATCATGAACAGCTATGATCCTACAAAAATAATTCCCATGAAAAATTCACTGAAAGGATTCATTTAATAAATACATACAGTTAAATGGCCAATAAGAACAAAACTTGTTAACAGTTATGGTTTCCAACCTCAGCAGACATAATATTAACACTCAACTTATTTAACATAAAGGAGCTATTTTTGCATAGTCACAACCCAGTGCAATGGCATCTTCTGAAATTCTGATATGGAATACAAATCTTCATCCTCACAACAAATAGGGTTTTATTAAGCTCAACTCAGTGACCACTAATGCATACAGTAACTCTTCTTAGTTGTTGAAATGTGTATTAGAAGGGACCAAGTGTTGTCTCTCTTATCCTCTACATACACTCCAAAAATAACTTTACACCCCAGAATCATGATTCCACTACAAACTGGACAATCTATATGTGATTCACCCCTCTGAATGAACTTCCGAAATCCAAACTTCCACTTTTTTTTTTAAGTTCATCCTCAAACTTAAGAATTCCTGGCTCTTGTTCTCTTCCTGAAAACATCAATATTTGAACAGTATTATTCAAAATTTTAAATTGACGTTTTCAGGATTTGAACAGTATTATTCAAAATTTTAACTAACATAAATATGTTTTAGTACAAGCCCCAGCACTTTAATTTCAGGAAAATAACTGGTAGCTGAAATAGTAGAGGAAAACAGTCCATGAGCCATGAAGATGAAACACTAAGCCCCAAAATAATGTTTATTATTTCATAGAAATAGCACTATGTATAGCAAGGTCAATTTCCTACCATTATCTTCAATGTAGTCACAAATACTATAATGCAGGAAATAATTTGCCTTATGGTGACATATTTAGAAAACATTAAATGAAAAAGTTAAGTATTTAAGAACCCTCGGTTTACCTCCATTCTTGTTGCTTCTCCTCCTTTCACAATGGGCACAGTTTTTCCAGCATGTATCCTATATGGCCCAATTGAATGTCCATTCAAATTGCGAATTGGTTTCACTATTACAGAAAACAAAGCAAAATATCAATAATTAGGAAAAATCACTAATGTTTAATCCTTCGATACCAATGATTATATTACCCTACACCTATAGCACTGGAAACAATTCAAAGATCTACACTTACTGTAGAGGAAACAACAGAAAATCAATGTTTTCTTATAAAAAAATTCAGGCAGGCAAGATCCTAACTTATAAATATGGAGTAATTACTTTCTTTATTCCTATGTATTTTGCCTACTAGTAATGAAAGGCTATTCTCATTTTTCACCTCAGTAAAGTAAATGCCAGATGTGGTGCTTTTGAATGTGTTTGTTGAGTTGTTGAGTTTAAAGTTTGAAAAGAATAGAGAAGTTCTCATTCATTTAGGGCAAAGTTCCCATAGGTTACAGTTGCGGAAAGTGATCATATGTGTATGTATAATGCAAGTTACTTGCACTGCACGCTTACACCATATCAAACAAACATCACTTCAACAGCAAGGAATAAAGTTAGATTTGTTCAATTACACTCCCAACATAGCTATTTCTACATACTCTAAAAGAGAGAACTTGCCTTGATATGTTTTGCCGTCAATTTCAACCTCATATGACTCCATTACTTCTTGAATGGCTTCACCAACATCACAGAGACGAACATCTATTCCAGCACACTGAATAGAAGAGTTAAACAGAGAAAACAATTAAATCTATTATGAACGTAGCTTTTATTTAAATTTCAGAACCCAGTAAAATTAATTTTCATAATTAGTGTACCTTTATTCCTGTATTAGTGGCATCCTTTACTGCCTGTAACAGTCTATCATATTTTGGATTGAATGTAACAGTAAAAGCACAGTCAATAATACGACCTGAAATCAGAAGAAATTAGGTTGGTACGATGTTTGCATCCAACAAAATAATCCAATAATATAAATTTTATAAATCATAAGGAAAAATTCACCGCTAATATGTGTTCCAAAGTCTATTTTGCAAATATCATCATACTGCAACACTGTAGGATCTCCAGCATTGGGAGTGTAGTGGGCTGCACAATTATTCAGAGAACACCCAGTGGGAAATGCAAGACCTGCATTTAAACCATTTTCTTTTATCAATTTGCGTGAGCAGTCTTCGAGTTTTTCACTAGGAAAAAGAAAGATAACTTCCATTAAAAATCACAATGTACTAAAAAAGTTTTTAAAGCACTTGTTTACAAATGTGAGAATATATCAAAGAAAATCATTAGCCTAAATGTTGAATTTCAGTCTTAATTGTAACAGCTTCCTCTTACCATAACTTAAATCAAGGTCAGGGTTTGACTGTGCCAAGACAATAGGATGTCCCTAGAATGCGACTGTCTCAGAAAATGGAAAGGGAGGGGTCTGCTAGCAGAGACAGTTATACTGTATAATGACCACAGGGGGGCAGCAAGAGGCCAAAGATGGACACCAGGACAGCTATAACCTCAAGGAGTAGCAGGGGCAGAGAAAGGGACAGCTATCTACTATATATTTGAGCGAGTTTGTTTGTGGGTTTGTCTGTCCTCCAGTCAGGTGACGTACCCCTCCCCCTGCCAGCTGCAGCACCCATGGACAGGCGCTTTACAACTGGCTCCAAACTGCTGAGGTGTCAGCTGTGCCAGCTGCAACACCCATGGACAGGCGCTTTACAACTGGCTCCAAACTGCTGAGGTGACAGAGCGCTGGGATTGTCCTCTCTCCCAAGGGCAGCCTGCATACTGAACCCTTTATTCCTAAGCTCATCCCAGAGCAATGATTTGAATAAAGAAAAACAAAAATAATTTCAGTTAAGGACCCAACCAATGCATGGTAAATCTTCTAGTGAAAGGAATAAATGGGGATATTGAAGGGGAAAAAAAATCAAAAAGTACCTTGAACTAACAGCTTTCAAAATACAGTCAATTAAGAGTCTGATATTTTGAACCACCACCACCACCAAAAGTAGTTATTTTAATAGTGTCTTCCAAGGCAATGTCTTTATCCTTACCAAATTTCTATCATTGTCATTCCAGGTTTGATCCAGCTCATAACATATTTCCTCACTTGTCTGTGTGCCTCAGCAGCCTCCCGGAAATCATTCCAAATCTCTTCACTAGCTTGATCTAATGCTTTCTTTTCTTCACTTGTAGTTCTCCAAACAGCAGTTCGCCTTTAAAGTAAACATGATGTACAAATGTTAAAATTGAAACCACTACCACCAGTCCTTCATACAGCATTTATTAAAACTCTTTTGCACAGTTCTTACACAGTCACTAATTAATCCTCAGTGACCCTTTGGGGTATATATAAAAGATATGTATTTTTTGTTTTAAAAACTACAGGAGACCCATAAAAAAAAACACAACTCTAAATACCTAACAATTAATTTAGAGTAACAATCCTAAATAATCATCCAGCAGCGAAAAATAATCATATACAAATAATGAATTAACTCAGCCAGACACAATAAATCAAATCCCATTTATCGCCCAGAAGTTCATGTTATTCCCCCCCCCAAAAAAAAAAAAAAAAAACCATGGAAGAAAAGGTTTTTGCATCATCTTTAAGACTGACAGGTCCGAAGCCATTTAGGGCTTTATACTTCATGATCAACCGTGATATCTTCACTTGCTTCTTTATTTAAATTGGATTTAAAAAAAATACTACGTTTCTCATTTAAAAATAATAGTTACAATTAAATCACATCACAAATATTCTACACCTACAGTCTCATAACAATGAATTAATGTTTCTAGTCTGTCCAGTCTAACTACCAGCTCTTGCTTCTTGATATTTTAGGACTTTCAATTTCGGTTTCTTAGCAGACTAACAAGTAACATGTGCAAAGAAAGACACAAGCTGGATAGGATTGTTTTTGTTCTGTGCTTATGTGGTGGTGGATTGTTTTAAAGTCAAAGCAACAATATTAAAAAATGACAGAGGCAGCATGAGCGTAGAAAGACACAATGGAGTGGACTGGAAAGAAAATGGAAGACATTATTCAGCACACACACAACATCCTATATTCCCCCACACTTCTGCCACAGAAAAACTGTCATGGTTTCTGGACATAAGAGACCCCCTTTCTGGGAATATTTTGAAGAAATTTGTTCTCTTGCTAAAAAAGGAAAACATGCGATGTGTAAGCAGCTCAAACCGGTTGAGTGTGTCTAGATGGCTTGAACAATATGGCTATTTGGTCAATTGAGCGTGGCTAGTTCACTATAGCAGTAGTCACTATAATGGCTATTGCTTCAGTATTAGTTGGACACCATGGCCTTAGACTACAAGCTCTCTGGGAAAGTGACTTCTAGACTCTACTATAATACAAACAATACGTATTAAGCCATATAAATCTGTTATACAATGTGCAAGTGACAGGTCAAGATACAGTTAATGTTGCCAACAAAGCATAGTGAGAAGTGCTCCAAATCTGAAACACTGTAAAGGCCATGTAAATGGTCTGAATATTTAGTTAGCTATGAAATTCTTCCTTACAAGAATGCCCATGCAATCAAACAGGGCAGATACATATTTTTTAAGACGTTACATGTTTAAGCCGTTAATTTAAATTATTAGGTTTTTCAATTAAAAATCTACTTATTTTTGCTACCAGTCCTTCAGCAATTTAAGACTTGTAAAATGGGAACAAAGTAAATGTAAACGCTCTCAACATGTTTGGATGTAACAGTTTTTCTTCTATTTAAAAGGGTCATCTGTGTTGAAAAAACAAGCCTGGAACCTCATTACCATAATTACTATAAGAACACTGCAAACACAAAATTGATAAAGCAAACAACCTAGCAAACACCACCATCTTCTGATGTATTGAATCTTTTGCAAATCAGGAATGTTCCAATGCTTCTGCCAGGCTCTATTTCCCCATAAAAGTTTGATGCTTAACTTTGAAGTCAATGGGATTTGTGCTCCTAAGTACTTTAGGCACAGCTGAGAACTCTCTCTCACATGAACACCAGCAGACACCTGCCTTACAACTCTTAGTAATCTTTGTTAATGTACTGATTAGCCTTTCATTGTTAACAATGATGCAATTTTGGTTTGAAGTGATGAAGCCTCAGATACTAAGACAATAGTAGTAAAAATACAATTTTAGTTCCTAAATTCTACAAACATTTTTTCGCACACCTAACTTTAAGCACAGTCTCATTGAAGTAACTGGATTATTCATGAGAGTAAAGTCACATATCTGCTCGTATGTTTTTTCAGAATCAGGGCTTTCATTTTCAGTATTTTGGTTTTTATTTTAGGGATGTAAGCGACTAATCGACTCTCCGATAAGTAAAAGCTTATCAGATAGTCGACACACTAGTCGACTAGTCACTTTCCCCCCTTGCTGCCTCTATCAGAAAGAGGCAGCATGGAGTGTGGGGAAGAGTGCTGGGGGGAGCGGCTTAAAAGCCGGTTCCCACCAGCTCCGTGGGAGGGGGCAGCCACCTTTGAAATGTACCCCTTTGAAAAGCCCCCCCACTGGGGCTCTTGTACATTTCAAAGGCAGAATGCCGTGCAGCATTTCCGCCTTTGAAATGCAGCAACAGCTGGGCAGGCTCCTGCTACATTTCAAAGCGGAATTACCCTTATCAACTAATCAAATAATCAATGGAAATTCCATCTACTATTCAATTAGCTAATTAATCTAATTTTAATATCCCTATTTTATTTATAACAATTTTATAAAATTAAGATACCTTATGAGCAGTGATATTTATAGAAACATATTTATAAAATTTAATTCGTTTATTTGAATCTTAAATTGCAGTCACAAATTTTCAAATTAGTTTTATAAAGCCTCAACCCAATATACACTGTTCCAGCCTGAACTGAAATTAATGTGTGTGTGTGTGTGTGTGAAATTTCAGAGAAATGACCTTAAAGTCTATGAGTAAATGCATTTTGGCATCTTTTCCTGAAATGAGGTGAAAATAATGTATTTAAGGATACTGGAAAAGCTCTTTTCAAGACTCAATTTAGTTATTTCAAATACAAGTGCCTTGAAAGTAAAAACAAAAGTCTTCACACAGAACTAATTTGAAGCCAAGTTTAAAACAAAGCCAGCATTAAGTCAATCAAAAAAATCAATTTTCTGGTAGATTCTCTCCCTTTAATAAATCAAAACAAGTTAATTGAGTTGTTACTCTCCACATACAAAGACATACATTCTGGGTCACTAAGAAAATCCAGTCCAAAAGTAAATTGAGTAAGTATCTAACATCAAGAGTTAAGAATAAAAGTGCAACCATCACACCATCAAAGATTCACAGCCTCCTTTAAAAATCATATTTTCATCTGAAAATTCTATACTTACATTAGAGAATATTCTGGGTTTTTTCAGTTTGTTTTATGCATTCGGCAGCACTACATTCAGTCGGTTTCACTATTTTGCTAATATTCAGTTGCATATCTCATTGCATGCAGTAATATGAGGGCATCACTCCTATGCACTCCTCATCCCAAACTGTCCAAGAGTGTTAACAGCAACAATACATTGAAGTGCCAACAAGTAGGTACATAGGCAGCACACTTATTCAATGGCACTTATGGTTCTCTTTACATGAAGACAATGCAAAGAGAACCACATCAATGAGAACAGTTTTGGGAGAGTGTGGCTGGGGGAAGAGGAGGGAGAGCCAGCAGCCGTGCACTCTGGGATGTAGCTTGCTTTTCATCCCGTTCCCCAGACTATCAGTGAATGAGGGAAAAGTACTTGCATGTAGCGCATGCCTCTCACATCTAGTCTGGGGAACAGGATGAAAAGCAAGCCGCATCCTGGAGCGCACAGCTGCTGCCTCCCTACCTTCCTGAAACTCCACCCTTGATCAACAATAGGACAAAAAGTACCGTATAAAAATATTTTTTAAATTCTATATATGCTCTTAAATAGACCTGCATCAGCTAAACAAATTATTGTTATTAATTAATTAGAACACATTCAAGTTGACAGTATTTCTTTAAACAACATATTACAGTACTGCCACAATATGGGATATACTCCTGCTCCTAGGGAAATCAAAGGAAAAAACCTCACTGACTTCAGTGGAAGCACAACTGATGATGATGAAGAAATAATCTTGCTTCATCAGGTATAAAATTAAAATAATTATCTGTTATGGAAAATGTTCTGACATGTACTTTAGCCACTTCAAAGCAGATTTAACTTAGAGCTAATCACTTAAACCAAAAACGACAGATCAGCACTTGGGATTTTAGAATAGCTAAATAAAAAATAGGAATGCAATTCAAGAGTAGACTTGCTGAAAACAAACTATGCAAAGGAACTAGGGATGTTAAAAAATATATTTTAAAAAATGTGTAACCGCTGAATTTTTGTAATGGTTTTTACATGCAGGGGGCCAGGCAAGAACACCGGTCCTGCCTGCCCCTGCTTTCACCTATCCTCCCCAATGTCTCTGATAGAGAGGCAGCATCGTGGGGGGGGGGGGTGGCCCCCAGTGTACTGACTCCTGCTTACCCCCCCCATACACACACACACACCTCTGCCTGCAGCCTGTCTATCAGAGGCAGTAGCATGGAGGTGGTAGGGCAGGTGGCTCTACAGGAACCGGTGTTCATGGGGAGCCGGATCCCACCTGCCCCCCCTTCAGCGGGTCCCTTATCCGGTCTTCCTAATGCAGGAGCCAGGTCCATCCATGGGGCAGCTTGCTCCCCAGGGGAATACCCTATCCCCTAAGAGACTCCAGAACCCACCCCACCTGTCTACCTTAAGCCTGCCTTCCTAATGCGGGAGCCAGGTCCATCTCTGGGGCAGCCTACGTGGGAGGCAAGGAGGACGGCAGGCAACTCTGGGGGTGCCAGCATGCACAGAGAGCCAGCTTCCCATGTGTACCAGCTCCCGCCTGTCCCCCAATCCTGCTGCCTCTCTATCAAAAGCAACAGCGTGAGGGGGGGAGGGGGTGGCATCTTCCCAGGAGCTAATGAGCTTTTAAGCCAGTTCTTCCCAGCATCTGCCTACCCCCGCCCTGCACTGCTGCCTCTGCACGGGCACCAGCTCCTGCCTCCCAGTTGACAGCACTTCATAAAAGAAAACAAATATTTCTCTCCCAAATCCTTCAGTTACAGTAATCTTAGGCATACTTGTAACATTAGCAAGCACAAAAATTAGTGAGATTTTTAAATTTCCATGCTATTTAAGAGATACTTCTAGAGATGTAAGGACTATTTTATAAACAATGTCTTCAACAAATTATATCTCTTTTTCTTTCAGTTAACGTGTGAGACGATCACCTCAGTCTCTAGCATTACTTCTGCTACCTAAAGTAGACATTTTTGTTTTCATAAAGAGGAGATGGGCCTGACAAAGTATAAACACTCTACTCCTAAGAAAGTCTGATGATAGCAAGAAAGACTGTAAAAATCGATTTTATTTGCATTTAAGTCATTACTATGCTCCACAGTTAACATCCTATTAAGAGGATCAAGAGAAGTTCATGCAGTCAAGTGCTACTGCAGTTATTTTAATGTATATAGGGATTCCAGAAGAAAGCAAGCTACATAAACATTTGAGTAAAATAAAAACCAAGCCCAATAAAGCTGTGAGGGAAAACATTTTTGATCTGATGACTTGTGAAAGAACTGGTTAGATGATCCAGTAAAGAGGCATTACCGTCAACTTTGCTCACAATCTGCATTAAGGGTTAGGCAAGCAAAGCTACTGGAAAATTAAGTCTTTCATTGCACATCAAAACTTAGCTGGTTTTTAGACTTTAAAAAAACAGAAACATAACATTTACCCATCTTGTGTTGGTGGATATTCACATTCTTCTCCTTTTGGAAATATGCTACTGGGAAATAGATCACATATTGGAATAGAAGGTGGATCTGTCTGCACCTTAGCTGTTGAGTAAAAATTATAAGAAATTTTATACTGCAATTGTAAGTTATCATTAACGGCAAGAAAAGCAAAAACAGCAAAGCACATTTAAGAGCCTTCTGCCAGAATTTGAACATATCCATAGAACACCATGTGCTATGAAGCCCTCTAGTCACCTAACCTGGCCAAACTGATACATTCAGAGGCACCAGAGAGAACTTTCAGGCTATCTGGGCCAAGAATCTACCTTGCGCCACCCTCCACCCCAAATATTTGTAATTGGAAAGCCATAATATATTAGGATAAGTTTAAGAATAAGAAAACTCCATTTATTACTACTATAATTGGTACCTACGTCCTTTCTTTTTTTTCTTTTTCTTCTTTTTCTTCCCTGTTGCCCCATCTCCTTCACCCTCTCCATCTGTAAAAGAAACATGTTTATATATTATATACACATCGAAACACACAAAGAATCAAATGTAGGACAAAAGTTATCATGGCACCTTACTGAGAAACTACCCAAAGGTAAGATGCTTTAAATAACATCTGGAAAACACATACCTCAATTTTATTCAGCTTATGAGTCTACCTGTATTGGACATCTGAGTTCACAACTTCTGCACAGCAACAAAAAAAATCAAGTTTTATACACACTACAGTATGTGTGAAAGTTTAACACCTGACTTTACTTAAACGTGTACAGCTCTTTTAAACTATGCCATGGGGAAATAGAAGAATCTGAGTTTTGAACAAGATACAACTCTATCTGGGACTAAAGCTGCTTCTATCTCAGCTGCATTGAATCTGATGTTCAGATTTATTACAGGTCCCCAAATTCACAGTTTCAACAAATTTTGAAGAAAGCTGAAGAGGCAAGAGAGACAGCTAGAAGCAGTTACCAACAGTTGCAGATTCTTTCCCATCACCAGATTCAGATATAGAAAGAAACTTACACTAGCAGCAGCAGTGCTTTCAGACCTCTAAATAGTTCCTTTATGTTGGTTGTATATGTCTGAAGTTAATCAATTAAAAAAAGGAAGCCTTTGAGGAATGTGTTAGAAATAGACCACTTTTCATCCCAAATCCTATAATCTCAGTGGAACTAACATGAAGTCTCTGGGGAGTAATGGTTAGAAAAAAAATCATATTAAACAAGACTGCTAATAAAAAATGACCACAACTTTAGAGAACTTTTAATTTATTTTACCAGTAAAAGAAAAAAGGAAAAGACAAACAGATGACAGCACTCATGAAGGTCAACGTGGCGCGCACCACATAAGCAGCGCATACGATATAAAGGATAGGTATCACGGGAATGAGACCCGTATTTATGGGACTCCATCCTACAACTTTTCAAAGCTTGAGTAGAGAGGAGCATATGGCATCAACACAACAAAAAAGCAGCCTGCTTGTGATTATAGCAGTTTGACTCTGTCCAATAATATTTGCTTAAGAAGATGTGGCTACATCTAATAAAGTTTACTTACTCCATATGTGCAAGGATTATATAACATTGTTCAACTGTTTAGCTGATGCGCTGATTACTCTGCACATCTAATATCTGTCTAAACCATCTATATCCAAAACACTACCTACGCTAACCCTCCTGTTTTAGTTATAAACATTGATTCCAGAAGTTCTCAATGTCTTCTAATATAAAGTGTTCCTATTTTTTATATATTTACTCAGAGCTGTGTATTTGCTCACTCATAAAAATGGCAGGTGATTAGTTACAAAAAATTGGAGTCACTAGATCTCAATGCCATTCAAATGACTTATGATGGTCAATGTTATCTGAGTTAAGTAGATTGGTGATTTTTAAACTGCTACGGTCCTGCAGTGGGTGCAAATTTTAGTACTTAATTAAAACCTAGTCCATAAAAGAAAGTCCACTTTCAGACTTAAGTATCTCGTTTTACAATCTTTATGGATACCTTGTAGATATAAACGTCTTGTTTCTACTTTTTAATCTGACTTTTTAATCTGTCCTGCCAAGCTCTCAATCAAAAATGTATTTAGCATTAAGGCAGTCACTCTCTCCTAATAGCCTGTATTCGTTTCTTTCAAGCACAACTGTGCCACACGGATCTTGACCTTGGCCTGTGCTTAATCTATTAACGCTGAACCAGAAAAAGTAGAAGTCTTGGCGTACAGTTCACTAATTCACAGAGTGAGGGTATCTTCCAGGTCTCTATGCTAACCACTGCAGACGCTGGCAAAATTCAAGACATCGGTAGCTGTTGTTAATTTGCCTTGATCTTATTATATGCCACTCGAAAGAGAATCTGCCAAGTAGCAAGCCAAACTAACTAGGCTTATGCTGCCATGTCTTTGAAAATCACTAAGGGTATGTTTACACTAGCCCCCTAGACTAGCCCGGAATAACTGCCCACATCTACACATGGCAGAGAAGCGCGATTCCAAGATAAACCCCTCAGTTCCAATTAACAGTTAAACCTCATTCCAGACTAGTCAGTTTCCAAAATGACAACCGGCTGGGAACATTCTAATGAAGCACAGGATATTTAAATCCTGCGCTTCATTTGCAATTTCAATCGTCCCCATTAGCCTCCCTAGTTCGAACTAGGGGTCTAGTGTAGGCGTACCCTAATTCTCTTTTCCGTTCCAGGTTGCTTACCTGGTAACAAAGAGAAATATTTCACAAGCACCCTAAACATTAACAAGGAATTGAAACAAGCCCTTATATGCCATGACCATATTTGAAATGCAGCTCTTTACTTAGGAACAAAATAACCATACTTTTCATTATTTGAGATGAACTATACTGCCAGCCCAATTCCAAAATGTAGCAGAACCACAATGAACTTTCTTTCAGTGCAATCCTTAGTGTTTCCCAGTTGGGGAGATGGCCGAAGTACTGTTTTTTAAAAAGCAAACCACAGGAGCAGATTTCAGGGGCAGCCTGTATGCCATTTCCCACAATTATACAGATTTCAAGTGGCATGAAGAGAATGGGCCAGGCAAAAAATACCAAAGGCAAACAAAACATTAAAAATTCTGATATTTAACTTGTGTATATTATGAATGAATTGTATAGATATGAGAGAAAGCATTATTTCAGTGAGAAAACAACTTTAAATTTAAAACAATTTTTTACACTGTAAAAAAGTGAGGAAGAACGGCTCTTGCACAAAAGGGGGGTTTTGTGCAAAAAGGTGCTGACTACACAGCGCTTTTTTGCGCAAAAACCTCTTGCACATAAGAGAAAGGAAGAGGAAATGCAAATGAGAGCGTGACATATGCAAATTAGCACTCCATTTGCATTTGCTCTTCCACAAGAGAATGGTAGTTTACATATAGCGTATTAGTCTCACTGAGTTCTGACTCCACAGCAATCATAGTAGAAAATGGTAGTTTACACATAGCGTATTAGTCTCACTGAGTTCTGACTCCACAGCAATCATAGTAGAAATGTATGTATTACATTAAGATTAATATCCTTTTGCCCCATCCCCTGCAGTAAGCCATCAGAAATCCAGTTTATCAGAACACAGTTTTATGGGCAGCAATTAAAATGGATTTGGATGCTGTACACACATTCAGAATCAATGGTTATTATCTAGTGATATAGGCACCTATGTTTTTTTTCTTTTTTCTACTGAAATACTTTCAGATACTAACATCCAATTTAATATGTGTGAAACCTAAAGCTCCAGAGGTGGTTTGCCAAGAGATTAATTTAAAGATGATCACTTTATTAAATGTTAACTCAGCAGACAGGTGCTAAATCAGTGATAGGCAACCTAGGCTTGTAAGCAGGCTGCATGAATGGCCCTTCTTCATTTCAATGGATCACAAGATTGTTATTACCAAGAGATTCTCCCAAGATAGGGGAGTTTTGCTAACAGCACTTGTGTTTCTAGAATTTGTAGGGTATACCAACTGAAACGTAGCAGTGCTTTGACTGGTTGCAGATGCAGCGTATGGCACAGTCAGTCAACATTGAGTGCAATCGGCACATACCTCACTTCACGTGCCCTTACATTACAAGTGTCACTTTAATAACACCAGAATGAAACAAAACTACATAAACGAAAACCAGCAGAATATGGCAACCCTGCATGAGCAACAGTAAACAAAATGCTACAGAGGCTACATGCATCTGACGAAGTGGGTCTTTGCCCACGAAAGCTTATGCTCCTACACTTCAGTTAGTCTATAAGGTGCCACAGGACTCCTCGTCGCAGTAAACAAAATGTTTCCCAGGCCACACAGTGAGCCCACAGGCTATAGGTTGTCCACCACTGTGCTAAATACATGGTTTTATTATGGAGAAATATTAATTTACAGAGCAGGTCAGTGTATGTTTGGTTTTCAATCATGCAACATGTATAACAAAATGTGTTTAAATTCAGATTAGAAACTAAAAATGATACACAAACTATTGTTTTGAAACCATATTGGCAGCAATATACTTCAGGTTTTTGTTTGTATTGCAATGTTTCATATTTGTTTAGTTGGGTTTCAGTGAAAGAACTAGCATTACAGGCAGAATTTTCTTCAGTGACTAGAAACATTTTATAATAGTGTATTATTATTTATTATAGTGTATTATTAAAAGTGTAATAGTATAATTGTGTATTATTATTTATTACAGCATTCCCCTTAGTCTCTTCTTCCAGTATTTCCATGTACTAAGAGAGCTCCTTTGTGGCATAAATCCACGAGGGTAAAAAACAACTACAACTTTTGTGATCAGCTGCACAATGTGTCTGTCTGAAATTTAACTTCTTGCTCAAGTCACATAATGCTGCTTGATAATGAATGAAACTTATAACCCTCAGTTAGCAAATGGTTGAACATGAAGAAAATACGCTGCAAATACAGTGGCATCTTGCATGAAAAAAATTTAAGTGGAAAAACTAGAAAACTGTAGAAAGTGCTCCTCAATTTCGAGCACTTAATAACTTTCATTTTAAACATTAGAAAAACATTGTTACACTTGCCTTCTTCATCCTCATCTTTTTCCTTCTCCTCCAGTGTTTGTTTATCCAACTGTTTTGCTATATCATCAAGAGCACCCTCTAAGTCTCTTTCTGTTTCTTGTTGTCCTGTTTGCAAAATAAGGTATTGTTTAAAAAAATAAAATAGCACTTAAATTTGATATAAAAACCTAAAATAAGTATCTAAATATTTTTACAAGCTTCATGAGGATATCAGATTTCTCACCTTTTCTAAAGAACTAAACATGTCAAAACAACTGTTAGATACAGCCTCTGTCTGTGGGAAGTTTAGCCCCCGTGTGGACAGGGGCTGTCACAAACAGAGGATGCTTTATGGCAGCTTCCCCTGCCCCCCCCCTCATGCTTTTACCTCAGAGAGGCAGCAGCATGCAGGGGGGCAGCGCCACCTTGGAGCTCATGCTGGAAGGAACCAACTTTTAAGGCAGTTCCCCCTAGCACCAGCTCTTGCCTGCCCACTCCAGCTGCCTAAGTAAGAGGCAGCAATGGGGGGCAGACGAGTCCGCAGAGCCAGCAAATGCAAGAAGCCCGCTTGAAAGATGGCTGCAGACTGCCCCCCTCAACCTCCGCTCTGCAGCCTCTCTATCAGAGGCAGCAGTGCAGTGGTGGAGACGGCAGGCAGATCTACTGTGATGGAGAGGCAGCAGTGGGGTAGGGAAGCATGTGTAGTTGACAAGATTAACTGATAAGCCCAGACTTATTGGTTAATTGTGTACTCAAATACACACTGACATCCCTAATTAAATTGATTCCTTACACTATCTGCACAAACTTAGATCTCCTATCTACCATATTTGGGAGGTTAGCAGGAATAGGTTCCCTTCTGTGGGATAAACGTTTAAGGCAAAATGATCCTCTTTTATCTCTGGCCAGAGAAGTGGATATTGTGGCTACAAAGCAGCAGCCCCAATCTCCCCACCAACTGTCCCTGAAACAGACTGGGAGCTGAAACCAACGGATTTTTCTCACTCACAAACGCATGAGCAAGAACAGTCCCTCGGTGCCCTTCCCGTCAGTGATCCTCGGGACCTCACATCACCTGCCTCAAAGGGAAGCCACGGGGGGGGGGGGGGGGGGGGGAAAAGAGACGCCCCAAAA